AGAGAAGGAAAAATTGTGTATCTCACTCGTTCCTTCACGGAAACGAGCCAGATAACGTGCTAGGTAGGGGTTTAGGCATGCTGCGAGTTGATTGGTGGAGGCGGATTTGGTGATAGAGTGAAGGAAGAAGGGGTAGAAGAGGAAGGGGGTGCGTGGAAAAGTCGATGGGGAGAAAAGAGAAAAAGAGCGGGAGTTGTATCTCGCTCGTTCCTTGATGGATTCGAGCGAGAAAAGATGCTAAACTGGGGTTCTTGGCCATTACGAGTACGATGGCAATGTCAGAATTAGTAGTAAGATGTTAGTTTTTGTGATACAAGTGTTAACAGCTGCGCGGGAGGTAGAATTTTATGACTATCTACAAACGGTAATGTATCTTCCCACTTTTTAGCGGGAGATTCATTTACTGCAAGTAAGGGATTACCCACAACCTGTGGACATACTTGCCTGCTTCGATGATTGTGACTTGAGTCGCCTTGTTTTCATTTTTCCCACGTCAGCATCGTGTCCTTCGGAAATACAGGCCAGTGTCCGCCACTGAACAGCCTTGAAAGTCCACCTGTTTGAACATGGTCGTGCTTACAGATAGGTACCAGTGCAAAATGCTTACAACAGCAGGGGTTCCGAAGTTGCCTAATCGAGATTGCAAATGAGATAGATGCGGGATAGCAAAAGATAGAGAACGGAGGAAGCAGTCGGGGAGACGGTGCGTGATGAGAAGAGGAGGAGCGACCGTGACGAAGGAAGTAGCAGAGAGAGAGAGAGAGAGAAGTATCGAGATTCTTACCTCAGATGATACAATCACCCACCTCGATCTGCATTCGGAGGTTTGATTGTGAGCGAGCCAGGTTATATATATATAGTTTTTCATCTGGTGTGGGTGAGTGATAGTCTACTTTGATTTTGGTTAAGGTAGATGATCATTTACAGTGTAATCAGTGAGGGGATTCTGCAGACTGTTGAGGGTTCAGCCTGCTGATGAGTCGGTGAAACTCCGACGAAACAGTTTGTCACAGCCCCTCGTTTGTTGTCCTCTTCTCATTCTCTGCCTACGGTTTACCGGGCAGTTCTATTTGTGACGATATATATATATATATATATATATATATATGAAGAACTAGGTTAGAACGGGAGCAGAGGCAGGCTTCGAACCAAGAGGGAATGATATGTATCTTTCCATATTCTACGGAAGATACATCTTGAATGACGAGGCACTATGGAGGTGGAGGAACGCAACAATGGGCAATTCTTATCTCAATTTCCCCCTGCTCTAGCAAGGAATACATTATCAAATTGTATAGTTGATAGATGGTGGAGCGAGGTTGCATCCGTGTTGGTTAGCAACGTAACTTTCCCTGTCTGTCTGCCATGAGGGGGAAGCGATGGTGGTGTTGACAGATTTATGTTGAGTATCTTCCCAAGCTCTAGTAGAAGATTCATACTCGGTTTGGACGATTGGTAATGGGTTGTCTTGGAGTACCATACTGTTCGTCGCGGTGGTTGTCCGACTTTCAACTACTGTGCACGAACCTGACCAGGAGAAAGGGCCAGGTACATTTGGTAAAAGCCGAAGGAATTGAGAAAGAAAGACGAAGCTTGGTGGGCCAGACGAGAAGTAAAGAGGAAGGAGACCAGAGGGAAAGGAGGAGGAGAAGAACGGACGTGATGACGAACTAGATGGAGGGAGAGTCAAGGTGAGAGGAAGATGAGGAAGAAAGGTGAGAAGATCGAAACTTATCTGCTAGCTCCTAATGCGCAATAGGAGAAACGATAGCCAAAAGAGACAGGCTGGCGAAAGTGGAAGAACAAGGAAGGAAGAAATTTAGCACATGTCTTCCCCATAGCGGTAGCAGGCATAGCAGGGAATGAATTTTCCCTAAGTCTACGAGAGGATTCATTCTCATCTTGCTCATTGGTAAGTAGCAGGCGGTGACAGGACGAACGTGCTCACCATCGTACGGGAAGTCACTGCCGCTGTAGGCCCTGCTAGTCCTCTGTCTTTGCGCAATATATTCCCTGTTTCCAAACAGGTTGTTATTCCCTGCATGGTGGCCACAATGCAATCTGACTTCCTGACGTAATCCGATTTAGTTCCTTCCACAACCGTTGTTCGTCTCTCGTGGTTAGACACATACGTAGAATAAAGGAGAAGAAGGGAGTAGGAACAAGAACTTACTTGTGAACTGTGCATTGCCTTCACAGTCAACAGGGGCAGCGACAGACAGCGGTGAACAAGAATTTACTTGTGAACTGTGCATTGCCTTCATAGTCAAAGGGGGGCAGCGATAGTCAGCCGTGAACATGAACTTACCTGTCGGACTGTGTGTTACTCACACAGTCAGAGAGGAGCAGCAGCAGGCCAGAAGTGGACGAAAGACTTCCCTGTTGTATGGTGTACTGCACACACAGACCGAAGGGAGTAGCGTGCAGGCCAGCAGCAGACTGAAGAAGTGCCTGTCGGACTATGTGTTATTCTCACAGTAAGAGGCAAACTGTAGCAGGCCAGTGGCGGACATACAACTTACCTGTTGAACTATGCGTGACTCATACAGTCGAAGTAGCAAGAGGTCAACCACGGGGAGGAGACTTGCCTGCTACTGACGAGACGAGTGTTGTTACCCCAGGCAGAGGTTGGCATTGATAAACCTTGGTGCTGCGTATTGCTGCGTTTCTCTCTGCGCTCTAATAGAATACAAGGGGTGTGCTCTATTTGGAAGCGACGTTTTTAGCTATAGAGAGTTGGTCTGGCCAGAGGTAGGGACATTACGGTTAGAGGAGGCAATTGAGCGTTGAAGAGGGGGTTATTACTGTGACCTTAGGAGTTGTTAGAGGATCTGACGGTCAACAACAGGGCTTCGGTTTGGTCAACAGCGGTGCAACAACTTGTTTTAGTTATTGCTTGCGGGAGCTCCACCGGAGTTTGGAGTTGACTTTGGAGGTCGGGAGTACTGAGGTAACTACATTGACCATTTTGTATACTCGATATTGTTACCCCTACCTGTACAACTTACTAGTTTGACTTTTCTGTATGCATGCACCCCTATTTTGACTTTTGTCTATTTTACTTCAGGAGAAAAATCAGGTTAAACTAATGAAATGTGTGTATAAATTCAGATATTATTATACTGTTGACTGAAATTAGATTTGTGTGGCTAAGAAAATTAACCTGACTAACAGGTTGCCTGCGATTGACTGGGTTTTAAAAAAGGCTGGGTATTGTGTCCACAAGGGACTCGCTCAACGTTTTGGTTACTTTGATTGCTTGGAGGACCTGACAATGTTTCCATAAGGGATTGGTCAGGTCGCTCTGATTGTGGGGGTTGGTTTTGCCTGGACATTGAAACTGAGACCCTGGGCAGGACGCGAGTCGCCTTGTTGTTTGCTTGGATATTGAAACTGGGACCCTGGGCAAGTCAGTCAAAACCTGTGAGTCTTTTGAGGTTAGACTTAGGACTGTCTTTGGGATTAGTAGAGATTTTTGAAAGCCTTCCTTACTAATGGAAGTGCTGCCGAAATTTCTACTAAACCCAAGGAAGTCGAGGTTAAGTAGCTTTTAGGTCAGGAGTTTGTTTATATTTGGATTTGTATATTTTCTGTGGGCTCACCCGTTTAGGGGAGATACTGCCCAAATTTTTGCTATTTTTACATCGTTACTGGACGATATAGCTAGAGGAAGTGCGATACGGAGTTCTTCTCCGGTAATGCGACAGATGGTGGCTATGTTATTTGTGACGCAGGTTATAGCTACCTAAGGGAGATTAGGTGTGATAAGCTTCATAAATTTTCCGCTATCACTGAATAGCAGGTCAGTTAGTCTAAGGCACTCCTCGGTTCCATCGAGAAGTGTGCGGTTATGATTACTCCGTAAAACACCATTACGGAAAAAGGGGGTTTGTTTTCAAGCTTTCTTGCTTCGATATGATTAAATCGGTTCCTTTCATGGATTTTACATTGAGTACTTGATCAGATTCTGTGAGGAACAGGATGGGAAAAATTATGGGTGGTTCCGTCAAGGGACAAGGCGATGATCCAATTAAGTTTATCAAGTTTTCTTCGAGCGGAGGACTACCGTGTGGTCACCTAATCGTCATAGTCGACCGGCGTATGACCCCGTTTAGGAACTCAACGATTCTATGACGAGGGTCTGCGTACGGGTTCGATCCCGGCGTTAGCCGCGCGTGCCCCTATGCTACAGCGCACGAGCAAACGCCCTCGGCTTGCCTACCTCTGCGACTCCATCATAAAAACTCTCACACGTGGGTCAGTAGCTCGGCAGGAATACGCCCACCCACGGGATGGTGACAACTCCCAACGGGTGGAGGTAAGTTGTGCCTCGCGCAACCTCTGTCCTGTCGCAGGAGCGCGTGAGAGGTATGGCAGGCGCACTCGGCCAGAGCGGCACCAGGGCGTGCGTTTGTCTCCGCGCGTCCGTCAAGCCCCGCCTAATCTTGCGTGACAATAGCTCGGAGGGTCCCGTTCGTGCGGGATCGATGCGCACGACAGGTGGCGCCGTTGCTGGGGATCTCGGCTGCCTACCGAGGTCCAAAGTGAACGAACCTTGGTTAATGATTTTGGCGGGCCAATGATCCCAGGCAAGACGACAACTTTATTTGACATTTTGATTTCTGGTGCAGAATATTTGAGGGTTGAGTGATTAACCCTTGGTATGGGAAGTTAAGTAAGAGGTTTTACCACCTTATCGAAGAAAAGGCTTAGACTTGATTAGGTTGAGGCACTATGAGCCCTTATTAACATAAAATGCCAGTAACGTAAAAATTGTCTTTTTGTTGAGTAAATGGGATTGGATGTGAGAGTCAGGTCATATAGATATGGGATATGTCTAGAGATAGGAATAGAAAGGTCGTGCATGTATGCATACATGATTTTTATATTATTTGGGGATTGGATTTTGGAAAGTCATTTTGTCCTTCCCTTTAGATTGGATGAACTAGGGGAGGTTTACAATATGACCCTTGATAAAGATAGAAACCTTATCATAAAGGTCTGGTTACTGATTGATGTTTGGGCAGGAAATTCAAAGGAAAGTCAGAGATAGGCGAGGATGGCGCATGCCCGAAGTGATCCTTGTGTGGCTTTGCCAGTCCGGAAAGAGGGAGGATTGGAGATGACTCTGCCACGAAGATTTAGGGTTGGGGAAAATGCGTATTCATGGTGGGGTAAAAAGGTGGATAAGGATGTGTTCGCCTGGATAGAATCTAGCCTGATTGGGGAAGATGAGGATGTGCTAGTGAAGGTACTCCTCTATGTAACGCCTTTCTTCTCGACCATGCTTGGGATTGAGTTAGCTATGGGAAACAAGAAAACTCTGACCAAATGGCTAGAGTTGGTTGAGGCTGCCGTACTAAAGTGGACAGCAGATATGCCCTACGCAGGGGATGAGATGGTGTATGTATGTGTGGGATTCTGAGATAGCAAGGACTTCATGCTACCCACGACACCTTTGAGGGTTGTGATCCCTAACGACATAGTGAAAGTCAAATTTGGAAGTCAGGAAAGGGTAGAAAGGGCAGCGGGAGTCGCAATGATCCTGCGAAGTTTGGGGTATAAGAGGTACGCTTGTGAGGTGGTTTACAGCCTGTACCTGGAGCTGGGATCTACGCTTAAGGAAAGTGAGTCAATGAGGGTGGTACAAGATGTCATAAACTACCTTTCCCTTTATGGGCCAGATGATGGACCGGTTGGTGGAACCACCTTCGGTACGAGATAAATGCGAGGTAGGACCTGGGGAAACCCAGTATTGCTTAGACCCTTCCTGTATAAATAGACATTGTAGGTAAGAAACAGATGGGATAGGGAAGGGTGATTTGGTTTGAATCTGTATACTTGTGGTTGTGTTGGCAGGAAGGCGATCGAAAGGCAAAGAAGATGGTGGACGAGGTGGTTAAGTGTTAAGGATGGAAGTTCGACGGATGAACAACCATTTACGGTTGGCCAGCTGGTGACATTGTTGGAAGGTCGGGAGGTAAAACGGTCCAACATCCCTAAGGTCCAGATCTTTCATTTCAAAGGAGATAAAGTGTCAGAATGGTTGGAATTTCTTGAACAGATCACTGACGAAATGCCTGACGCGAAAAAGTTTCGTCAAGTACCGAAGTATGTTTGGTGGGAGATGAGGCCAGAGGTGATGCGCGTGGCCAGTGAGGCCAATGACAACTGGGCTAATTTCAAGGTTGAAATGCAAAGGCGGTACCAGTTGGGGGATGGACTCCTCACGGTGGAGGACCTGGAAAGGTTGGAGCGGTCAGACTTCACGACAATAGGAGCCTTTAAAACCGCTTTTGAGAAAATGGCGAGGAAAGTCCCAGGACTGGCGGAAGAGACCCAGTACGCGATATTCCTAAGCAGTTTCACTGAGTGCGAAGGGGTGTCGCTCACCAGGAAAGGAGCTGTGGGGCAAAAGCTAACTTGGGAGACCATCAAACAAAGTCTGGCTGATGGGGAGCTGGATCAAGTATACCAGTTTCAAATGAAACAGCAACGCCAGAAGCGGAAGGTTAGGGCTGCCGCTGAAACAACTGGAATTAATCTCCAGCAACATATTGCGGATGGGATAGCGCAGTATCAGGCTACCCAGCAAAAAGCGGTAGGAAAGCAGGTGATGGTGGTCACTCAGTCGGCGACAAAGACGACGAAGAAAGGAAAAACAGTGGAGTAGGTGGAAGAAGAGGATGAGGAGGAGGAAGAAGAGGAGCCGGTGAAGCTGACGAAAAGTCAGCGAAAGGCTAGGAACCAGGCCATGGGCGGTCAAGGGACAGGAAAAGGAGTACAAACTTCGACGCCGGCTCAGGCGAATGCTAATCAAGTAAGTGCAGTAGGAGTTCCGCCGCAAGCACAGACTTCGCCACCACAATGGCCAAGAGTTTTTCCCACGACCTGACCAGGATTCAATCCCTGTATTTCATGGCCATATTTCACCCAGCACGGACAGTTTACAGAAGGGTGCACGCCTCAATCCATAGGAGGGTGCGCAAACGCTTCAGGCGAAGGAGGAGAACAGCAGCAGCAGCAGGCAGCCGCACCTCAGAATAGCCAACCCAATCAAGGGGCTGGTCAAGGACAAGGTCAGCAGCTAGGAGGAAATGGACAGGGTGGCCAAGGGCGAGGAGGAGGAGGTCGTGGCCGTGGGTTTGGCAATGGTGGTCAAGGAGGAAGAGGTGGAGGTTGGAATGGGCAAGGAGGAGGCGATAGGCCTCGGCTTGATTGGAGGAATGCCACTTGCCACCATTGTGCGCAGAAAGGACATACTTTGAAGTTTTGCCAAATCTGAAACATGGACGAGGAGGAGAGATTGATATCTTCGAACTTGGATGAAGATATCTATGACAAATTCGGAAGGAGGCGCTCCGACGTGCTAATCAGCAGCCTGTTCCTCCTGCTATGTTCAGACTATGTCTGGAAGAGGAGGTGGATAAAGGAAACGACGAGGTGGATGTTGGAGTAAGAACGGCAGGAGATAATAGTGAGAAGGGAGGTGTGGTAGAGCGAGAGAAAGATGAAGAAAACTGTCAGGAGACGGTGGGAGAGACTATGCGGCACATGGAAAGCCTCTTTGGGGAAATGCAGAGGCTAAACTCGGAACTGAGGACAATTTGTGATGAGGTAAGTAAACCAATGGTTTACTTATTGGGACCGCAAACAGGGTCATCAGGTGCTAAGCCAGCATGCGGAACTTTGGTATCTACTCCGCGGTCTGGGATTACATTCCGGCCTCCTCGAGGGCAATCGAGGGCACCACAAGCTATGCAGACAAGAAGCAAGAAGGGTAATCCTGCCAATGAGGCAGAACCATCGAATAAGGGCGAGTCGCGAGAGAAGGGGCCAGCCACTGAGGTGGATACAGGAAATGGGAATGATAATGAGGATGAGCGATTAAGGAAGGAAGAGGAAGAGCAAGCTGTTGAGCGTGCCAAGAAAAGGAAGGCTGAGGAGCGGCCGGAGACGGTAGCAAAAGGAGAGACTTCTCGCAAGCAAAGGTATGCGGTACCTTTGGAGGAAGGATTGGATATTGAGGGTATGGTGGAAAGGCTCCTTAAGGGTCATAATGAATGGTTGAACGTGAAGGATATCCTTGCGTCAGCGCCAAAGCTCCGTGAGGAATTCAAGGCTAGACTTTCCCGGCGACGAGTAGCAAGTGTGAGGCTTGGTGATCTTATCCCAGTTGAAGCCCATTGGGCGACTCCTGGAACGAAGATGGATTGGAAATCAGTCGCGACCGGGAGCGTGAACCTGGTCATAAAGGGGAAGTCGTGCAGTGGGATGCTGGACACGGGAGCAGAAATGAATATCATTAAGGAAGCAGATGCGTTTCGGCTAGGACTGGATATAGACAGGGAAGACATGGGTTTCCTATATGGCGCCAGTGGACGGACACCTTTCATCGGGACAGCAGCAAATGTCGTTGTGGAAGTGGGGAAGGTGAAGGTAAGGTCCTGCTTATGTCATGCCAGATTTGGACCATTCTCTGTTGCTAGGAAGGTCATTCCTTTGCCGAACAGAGTCAGTGATTTTAAATAAGCATGACGGCACTATGTACGTCATACTGAGTGATCCGGTTTGTGGCAACTACGAGATTATTACCTGTCATTATACAGGCCCTCGTAGTATGAGGAACAGGCCTTACCCTGGTTCATTTACCTTTGAGGAGTCCGAGGAAGAAAGGAGGCAGCTCATGGGGAAAGATGAAGTGGAGAGTGAGCCATATGGTGAGATGTCGCTGAGCTTGACAAATATCAACGACGCAATGAAGATAGTCTCTGCATATGGAATGGCGGATCCTGTGGCGGTACGGGCGCTGAAGGAAAGGATTGTGGATGGCGAAGGTGAAGTGGAATTGGTGTATCGATTACCAATGAAGGGAGGAGATATGGAAGAACCTCAAGGCCATGCTGTGAGTCAACCTTTTTTAGGAGTGGACTCAAACAAGACTCCCGAAGGCGGTACAAACGCGTAAGCGAGAAGTGCCGACCTGTTTCAGTGCTCATAACGGCAGAGGAGGAGTTATATTATGAGCAGAAACGGGAGCTGATACGGCAAATGAAGGAGGATGCGGAGCGAGGGCCGTGCCGTATCAATGAGCAAATGGAGGAAGACTTGACAATAGGCGAACTAGGTTTTCTATCTCCAGAGGAAAGAGCCTTGACGATAGCCACTATGAAGGAGCGGCATCGCACGTACGCGTTCAATGATGATGAGCGAGGGCGCCTCGATGTGGATAAAGTCCCTATGATCAGGATGCATACGGTTCCCCATGTGCCATGGAACTTGCGAGGAGCGCGTTATCCTAACCCCGCGGATGAGCGCAGGGTGGTCAACTATATTGACGATAAGATTGATACGTACGTAGCTAACTATTCGAGCGGACCTTATGCTTCACCTTGGTTTTGCTTTATTAAACCAAATGACACATTGAGGTGGGTACATAATTTGCAGCGCTTGAATGCAGTGACGATACGAGACGCAGAAGGTTTACCAAATGCGGATGCACTGTAAGAGTCCTGCGCAGGCAGACCAATTATTAGCGTGATAGATTTGTACTCAGGCTATGATCAGTTTCCAGTATACCCACCAGACAGGCCTATGACGACGATGCATATGCCAAGGGGGTTGATTCATATGAATGTGGCGCCGCAGGGATGGACTAACGCGGTGGCAATGGTGTAGAGGCAAATGGTGCGTGTTACAGAAAAGATTAATCCACATATCACGCAACCGTATATTGATGATCTAGCCGTGAAGGGGCTGAAGAAGAAGGATGAGATGGAGGTCATGCCCGGAGTAAGGAGGTTTGTCTGGAACCATATACAGGATGTTGCCTGGGTCCTTGACACTTTGAAGGATTAAGATCTCACGGCTAGTGGGGCAAAGTCAAGACATTGTATGCGCGAGGCGACCATTTTAGGTTTTGTATGTAGTGAGAGTGGCCGCCGACCGGATCCTAAGAAGACTAACAAGATACTTGAATGGCCGATGCAATTCAGATCTGTTAGTGAGGCTAGAAGCTTCCTGGAGATGTGTGGGTTTAGGCGAGCCTTTATCAAAGACTTCGCAGGGAAAACTGAGCAGTTGCGGAAGCTTGTGCGCCAGGATCAGGAATGAGAGTCGGATGCGAAGCAAGAAATAGTAGTGGATGGACTAAAGGAGGAATTTAGAGATGGAGGTTTGGTGCTCGGCGTACCCGATTTTGAAACAACTCTTACTCGTCCTTGCATTGTGGAGACGGATGCAGGGCCAACAACTTTCAGAGGTGTGCTCATACAGGCTAGCGTCAATGGCGAGGAGAGGCCGCTGAGATTCGATAACTGGACTCTGAATAACGCCGAAAGAAACTATTCACAGTTCAAGCGTGAGATGCTTGCGGTCCTCCACTGCCTGAGGATATTTCGCAATTACCTCTTTGGCAGGAGATTCATATTGAGARTGGATCCGACTGCATTGGCAGGATCATTGAAAAATTATGCCCCGTCAGACCCTACTATCGCTAGGTGGCTCACATACATATGGATGTTTGATTTTGAGTTGGAGCGCATTCCAGGGGATAGAAATCGGGCTGACGGGCTAAGCCGCATAGACTGGGATAAGAGTGAAGGAGAGGCCAAGGAGGGCACGCCTCCAGTTGATGCATTCCTCGATGAAGAAGAGGATGTAAGGCAACATATTAATGCATGTGCGGTTGGAGTAAGTGAAGTAGTAAGACAAGGGGAATCGACTTTTCTTGCGCCAGCAGGCTGTGTGAAGCGGTCAGAGATAGTCCTCAAAACTTTTGAGGAGGAACTTCAAGATCCATGGAGAGGTAAGGATGTGGAATGGATGGAAAAACTCGCTCTGGCAGAAACATATCAACTATCTGAAGAGCGATTGACTATTGAAGAAGAGATTCATGCGATTGAGGCGCATGCTATGCATGAGGCGGATGTCAATTTCCTTGTTAATTCGATACTGCAAGTGCAGGAGGGTGTGAGTAGAAGTCAGGATCCTGTAAAGGATATGGAAGAGGACGAGTTTGAGGAAGGAGAAATAACAGAAGCGTTTCGTGCAGAGGAATATGATGGCATGTATCGGGAATTGGGGTGACTTCTCTCGTGTGAGATCAGGGAGAGAGAGGCTTTCCTAAGAGTGCATGAGATGCGGCCGCGATTTGTAGTGCGTGACATACACCTCTTTATCAAAAACGAGGCTGGAAATCCAAGGCGAGTGATTTGAGGGAGACATCGCCAGATCGATGTGATAGCAGCACTGCACGATGGACCTGCTGGAGGCCATAGAGCTTTTGCGCTTACTTATGCTAAGGCGCTCGAGCTTTACTACTAAGAAGGTATGAGCGAGATGATTCGTAAGTATTGCGAGTCGTTTGTTCCATGCCAGATCAGAGCCTCAACGAAGTATAAGGAGCCTCTACATCCGAGGATTGTGCGAGATGCGGGGGCAGTGGTCCACTTGGACCTACTGGCCATGCCACCGGGAGTGGGAGGCTATAATTACATTTTCGACGCTCGCGATAATCTCACAGGTTTTGTGGATGGGAGGGCAATCCGCAATAAGACAGGTGAGACTCTGACTATATACATCATGGAATACTTTCTCAGATATCCCTTTGTCATAGAGTTTGTGATGGACAGAGGTTTCGAGTTCACCTGTGGAGAGGTAAAGGACTTGCAGTGGGGATATGGTGTGAAGGCAAGCTATACGACGAGAGCTCATCCACAGGCGAATGCTTCGGTGGAGAGGGGACATACCACCCTTACAAACTTATTGGCAAAGTGGACGGATGGTAAAGAAAATCAGTGGCCTAAGCATCTGCGCGCAACCTTCTTCGTGGAAAATATTACAATCAAGAGGTCCACGAAGTATGCCCTAGCAACTTTATGGTATGGAAGGCACGCTACGCTTCCTATAGAGAGCTTTCTAACGACGTGGAGGCAACAGGATATGAAAACCAACTTGACCTTCGAAGAATTGCTAGATCTGCGGGCAAGGCAGGTTGGCATTGCGGAAGAAAGAATTCAGGAAGTCGCGGATGGAGTGATGGACAGTCGTATGATGGACAAGGAGAGGTGGGACCGCCTTCCACGAGTCAGAAAAAAGCCACTCGAAGTGGGAGACGTAGTGTTGCTGTATGACTCGTCTCTGGAGAAACAATGGTCGTGTAAATTGGACAAGCGATGGTTAGGTCCTTACCGTATTCGACGGTGTGGGCAGCATAGGGCGTATGAGATCGAAGAGCTAGATGGCACACCATGGAGTGATTGCGTTTCGGGTTCGAAGCTGAAAAAGTTTGTGGCGCGGGATTGAGGTGTGTTGGAAAGTGTCTTAGATGAGTTTTCTTATGATTTGGTTGAGTCCATGACGTGGTAGGGTGGCATATTAGTTTAGTTTGGACTAGGTCTTGGTTTCAGAGTCTTAGGTTTTAGTGAGTAGGTCAGATATATAAGGGTCTATCTATACTCATTCTATTTTGCTCCTGTCATCCATCCTTATGTGTGCAGGGACAACTTTTCGAAGTTGGCCATAGCCAGTGAGGCGGGAGGATGGCGGGACATGGGGAGCAGCGGACAACCGCTTCAGTGATCCTGGATCCATTTTGCTACTATGGTGGACATGTTTTTCCATTTCTGGATAGATTGGTTAGACAGGCCTGGGCCCTCAGATTAGATTTCTCCCAATTGATGGAGCGAGTTAGGGGTACAGGTAGGTATGTGGAATGCGTGGCTCGGATTACGAGAGACTCTTTGGATTGGCGTCAGTTCGCCAGGAGAATGCTGAGGTTGAGACCCCAGCCTTTGGATCGACGGGGTAGGCCTATGCGTTTCGACGGGGCTAACTTGGACGAGTTTCTTGAGAGTTTTGCCATTTTAGCCAATGAGCAGAGATGGACTGAGGTGCAGGGTATCCAACAGATTCGGCATTGGGTTATTCCTGAGCTCAGACACGAGGTGAGTGCGTTGATACCCTCCATATTGTCCTGGAGGGGGCTTGAGGCATGAGAGGCCTAAGTCGGGGGCTAATCCGGTATCATTGGGCTAACCCCAGTGAAGGGCTGCTGTCCCGCGCAACCAGGACAGCGGACCTCTAGCCTAGCCTGAACTTGGAGCCTGGAAGTGTGACCCACACCTTGTCATCATTTTATTCTATAGTAAAGGGATTATTATTATTATTATTATTACTATTACTATTATTATTATTATTATTATTATTATTATTATTATTATTATTATTATTTCTATTATCTATTATTATTACTATTTACTATTATGGGTGAGGGAGCTTCTCACCACATATACAAATAATCTCATAAACTTAGTTATCCTTTGGCAGTCTTCCGCAAAACAAACTGAAATCACCACGGCCTTTCATTGCGTCTCACTTGATCTCATCAAACAAACTTCCTTCAAATCACGTGGGTCACTCATCACCGGGCCCCCGCGTCACAAAACACATGGGTGACTCTTCTGTGGGCCCCCATCCAAATAAACACCTCCATGTGTGACTCCTCTACGGGTCCCCATCCCAATATACACATTTCTTAGGCCGCCATACCGGTTCAGCCTTTCCATAGCAAAGCGCAGATAAACGTATCCGTTAGTCAAACAATCTCAATGCATTTGACAACCAAATACAAAAATGACCATAAACACAAGAGTGAGCAAGATTCACACTCGGTGTGAGAAAGGTTTATTGGCTTCCTGGTTCCACAGGAGACCTCACATCACGATCCAGACTTAAAGGTGAGACATCCTCAATCAGAGATRGACAAAGAAAGTGGTATCGTATACGTAATACCTATAGAAAATATATGTACATGAAACATCCTTCGTGCCAAAGTCTGGATCAACAAATGTTTCCCTGAGAATCCTCAAAAATTCAAACCCAAACATAGCACGCTCTGAGTCTTAGGAGAGAAACAACTCAAAGAGAAAGATTTCAAATGCACTCAAACGTACCCTCTCACAGAAAAACAAAAACTCCYAATCATGAGAATAGTCTCTGGTCGTCARGACCGACCCCCAAGTCACTCTCACATCCTGGATTCTCATACGACCAACTCACCGTATCACAAGCTCACACTCTCACTACTCAAACCACACGAAGTCTCCCCCATGTGTACACTAGTCTGTGTCTGGTCCTTAGGCGTATCATAGACTCAAGGAACTGTAAATCCTCACCTCCTCCAGGGCCTATCACGTAAATAGCACACTGTCAGGATATATCTCTATCTAGGCAACCCAGACTAACTCACAACTGAACCAAAAACATGTCATAGGTAACCATCATATACCACAAAACCCATAACAAGATCGCACCACCCTCTCAAATCCTCATGCCCATGATCAGAAGTCCAAGTCGAGGAAAATCCGACGTCACTCATCCTCCCTTAGTATCAAACCCTGGCTGCTATATACTGCCGCCCTCATATCATGGCGCCCCTGTCGGATGCGGGTGTGGTGCATGTCCCTAAAGCGTCCCTGTGCGTCAAACTGCATAATCCCTCTATCAAGATCATGCTGAAAAGCAGGGCAGTCTCCCCTATGATGTCCTCCCCTAACCCGTTGATTGAAGGCTTGAAACTGGCAGGGGGGGGAGAATGTCGAATAAAGGCTCTGGCGGACGATCTGTTCGCCTTGTCCACCAACACTGCTGACTCACTGGGGGCTTTGAAAGACTGTCTTCAACAATATGTGGAGCTTTCCGAAGCGGCCATTAATTGGAACAAGTTCTTTTTCTTTCAGCCGAAAGACTACCAGCTCCGGGTACAGTGGGGAATGCAGAGGGTACCTGTAGGAGAGGCGCAGAGATTCTTGGGGGTGATGATTGCACTCGGCGACTCGGCCTCGTCCCAGAATGTGATCCTGCAAGAACGGGTAGTAGCGAGAATCAAAAGTTGGGGCAAGGCCCCGCACTTGTCCCTGGTAGGAAAAGCGTTGGTCCTTACAATATCAGCTTTTTCCTTATTATGGTATGTTCTGAGGATGTTCAGGCTCTCCGATGCCACCCTCAAGAACATTCGTGCCGCCGCCCGCCGATTTCTGTGGAAGCCAAATGCGGAGGACAACCAGGGGTACATTGCGAAAGTGGC